GGGCAGGCCGGAGGCGGGTCAGCCAAGGGCACCGGCATCTGCCCGGACCGTGGGGCGAAGGTCCGCGCCCGCCTTGCTCGGCCGCGGTGGCGGGGCTTAGCCCAGAAGAGACGAATTCCTGGGAATCCCGGGCGCTAAAGTTGGAGGGAGGTGCGTGCTGGGGCGGGGAGGTGGTGCCCGCCCACTCCTAGGGTCTGCTTCTGGGCACCGCCTTCCAGGCGTTCTGTTTGGCAGGGCGCAGCCTGTTGGCCGCTCAAGGGGAAGGGGCGGGTATGTTTGGGGAGCAAAGCTCTGAGAAATGAAGGGTTGGCTTTACAGTTTGCTTTCAAATTCTGATGGAATCATTAATTCGTGGAGTCCTAGCGTCTACCCTGTCCCTGGCGCTTTTCCAGATGTGTGGGATATGTCAGTCCACAAAATGTTTTCCCTGTGGAGCTTAATTCTGGCGGAGGAGACGTAGTAAATGTGTATGGATATACGTATGCATAATTAATGTATATATAATTTATACATAATTTTATATATTCATAATTTGATAAATGGTACAGGAAAATTATAGGATAAGGCTTGGGAAGTGGAATGGGTCTCCAGTCGTGAATTTAAATAGGGTGATCAGAATCGATTTCATTGAGAAGGTAGTATTTAATTAAATAGAGTCGTGTATCCCTTCAGGACAGTCGCCTACTTGAGAAATGAGTCATTAGGCGACTTCTTCCTTGTGTGAATATTGTAGGGTGTGCTTACACAAACCTGGATGCTACAGCCTACTACACAGCTAGACTAGCAGGTAGAGCCTAGTGCTCCTAGGCTATAAACCTGAACAGCATGTTACTGTACTGAATACTAGAGGCAGTCTGAACACAATCGTATTTGCACATCTAAATATAGAAAAGGTACAGTAAAAATATGTATTATAGTCTCATAGACCACTGTCGTGTGTGCCCCTCTGTCCTGGGCTGAAAGGCAGTTGTGGGGCGCATGACTATTTAAAAAGGAGGTGAGAGAAATCACTGCCCTGGAGATGAGGGAAGTAAACAAGATCAACTTATTAGATAGCATATTGTTGAATAAAGAAAAAAATCATTTCGAATAATCAACAGACTTGGCAAAATTATCACTTTGGGCAGTCTTTACGTGTTCATTAGTAGCCATCACTAACCACACATTTTTCCTATTCAACAGATAGGCCCAGCAAGTGTTGACTATATCTAAAATTTAAGAGTATCTTTGGCTGGGGTAAAAACTGATTAGTAGAGCAATAAAGTGAAGGAAACTGTATATACAGAGTGGGGAATGAGTAGTGAACTCGGTGCCACTGTCCTTCAGGAATTAGGAGTCGGAGATGAGTTTGGTCTTAGATTGTGCCCTTTATTGTGCTTTTTCTGACAAGCTAGTAATTTCCTATTTGTTTTTCTCTCAATACAAGAGTATGGGGCAAAAAGAGAGTGTTATTTCTCATGGATTTGCTGACCAATCCGTAAGGTGGTACTGTTGTTTTAGTGTCAGCGATCTCATTCTTCAGTCATCATAAAAAATAAGTATGGACGCATAAAAACAGAAGCAGAGCAGGGACACAGCTAAGGAGAGGTGTATGCTCATTAACCAGCTAATGAGCGTTTCCCAGCCACTTGTTTGCTTGGTACCTGAGGTTCTCAATTGGGCTACTTGAGGATATCATGAGTAGGAAGTTTGTATTTGGTTTCCACATCCTGTCCAAGGCTAACTTTGGGCCTCTGTTGTAATTGTGGGTTTTTAATATCCTCTTAATATGCTGAAAGTCCCTAGAAAGGGGAATTGCATGTTACTCGTTAACAGCTCAGTTGACTTGCTTCCTTATGATCAGTGAGGACTCTAGGAGTAGGCGGCGCCCTCAGGTACTGCCCTTTGACAGAAGGCAAGAGGGCATATCCTTCCCTCAGCAGGGGTTGGAGTGCCCACTGGCAAGTGGCCAGCCCTTCTGTCGACTTTTCAGAGGCAGGATTTCTTGGAAATAAGCTTGCTGTTTCTGGTTCCAATCTTTCTGAAAAAGAACAACAACAAAAAACTATAGTATCTAAATTGGCGTTACAAAGCAGTCATGTGATTGTTTTGTTTATGTGGACGTGGGGATGAAGAGGTTATGTTCTAAATACATGAATGGTTATTTTCTTACTAGAAACAAGGAATTTGGGTCTAGAGTAACCCTGTCACTCTTCACAAGCCATTCCAGACTCAGGTGTTTTCAAGCTCCCTGACACATGGGACAGTCCAATAGAGTTCTAGGGCAGGTGAGGTGGTCCTTAAGAGGTCCCCTAGATAAGTGCTTTCATTCATTCACTCCCACTTTCTCAAGCTAGGTCTCTTCTGTGTTGGGCAGACATCCTGGGTCTCTTCTCATGGAGGCCAGTTTCTGTCTCAGGACTGGAAATAAACTAAAAAAGAGATACCAGATTTAAGTGAGCTCATTTGTGTGAAAAGGGAAGAACTGAGGAGAAAGGAATTCATTTCAAATTTTCCCTCTAGACAGTTTCATAATCCAGATTGTAGAAGTCATTACAGTTCAATTACTCTATATATACACACACACACACACACACATATATATGTATTCCTAGCCTGCTGTATGCTAGACCCTTTGCCAGATGCTAAAGATAAAAAATGAGCAAGACTGGCTGCTCCTGGGCAGCTTGGGCAAATAGATAATACAGATGAGGAAATAAAGTATTAAGTGCTATGATGAGTTATCTGTACTGAACTGAGAACACAGGTATGGGAGCAATAAAGGTTGCTCCCTTAGCTGGGTGGAGGAAGCAGAGAGAACCATAAAATGTAAAAAAGAAAATGCCACATCTGAAACATAATGTATACTCAGTAAATTGGCAATTTAATGAAGAAAAGTAAAAAGAATGCTTAAAGTTTAACAGTTGGGAAAGGGGAGCAAGCCGTGCTTAAGCATGGAATTGCAGGAAATAGAATAGCTTAGGTTGCTAGAAAGAAAGCTGAAAGGATAAGTGTGGTCATAAATAGCAAGGGCTTTGTATGCCAGGTCAAGGACCTCGTGTCATAGCACAGTGGTTCTTCGAATCTAAGGGCCCAGTTTTACCAACAAACACATACACACACACATAAGTCATTGCACTTTATATTTTGTCAGTCTGCAAATGGTTCTTGATACAGATATGGATTATTGCATCTCTTGCTCTCATCTTGATGCTTACAATGACCACAGTTACCCTCCTCTTCCCAAGTTGTGAGTAGGCTGGGAATGACTCCCATAGGCTGCGGCGAAGTGTCAGATCTGTAGGGTTCAGTTCACATCACATTTTTGTTTACTCTCGATTTTATTGTAGGGTAATCAGGGGCGAAGGACTGACAGTGGAAGCTGATCAGCTGCAGCATCTTTCTGGTCATTCAGGGGCCTGCTGGGGAAACCTTTGACCTTTGAGTTGGCGGGTGACCCTTCTTGCTCCTACCAGTCTTCTACAACACCAGACCTCAGACTGGTGCCAGTTAATGGCAAAATTTGAAAAGTAGTGACAAATATGTAGCAAGATTTTCATATACTAAGTTGATTAAATGGAAGTTCTGTAGATTGTTCATCTTTTTTTTTTCTTTTGGTGTCATAATTTCATTTTTAGTATAATATTTAATAGTAGTAGTAAGCAGCTATATTTAAATGTTCTTTTATAACAATTAAAAATTGGCAACTCAAATCTTGTTTTATTTTATTTTTTATTTTTATTTTTTTTTGAGATGGAGTTTTGCTCTGTCACCCAGACTGGAGTGCAGTGGTATAATCTCGGCTCACTATAATCTCCGCCTTTCGGGTTCAAGCAATTCTCTTGCCTCAGCCTCCCGAGTAGCTGGGATTACAGGTGCCCGCCACCACACATGGCTAATTTTTGTATTTTTAGTAGAGATGGGGTTTCACCATCTTGGCCAGGCTGATCTTGAACTCCTGACCTCATGATCCACCTGCCTCAGCCTCCCAAAGTGCTGGGATTAAAATTAAAAAATTTTTAATATTTTTGTTTTAGATACAGGATCTTCGTTTGTCACCCAGGCTGCAGTATAGTGGTGCGATCATAGCTCACTGCAGCCTCAAACTCCTGAGCTCAAGCCATCCTCCTGCCTCAGCCTCCCAAGTAGCTAGGAGTAGCTGAGACTACAGGCACACACCACCACACTCTGCTGATTTTTTTTTTTTTTTCTGGAGACGAGGTCTTGCAGTGTTGCCCAGGTTGGTCTCGAATACCTGGCCTCAAGTGATCTTCCGACCTTGGCCTCTGAAAGTATTAGATTTACAACCATGAACTAGTTCACTTGGCCTAATTAAAAAAAAATGATTTTAGGAATTCATAAAATCTAAAAGCCAAGAAACTAAACCATATACTATACCACCTCCGTCAGATGAGTACCTTCAAACAAGAAATTTACAAAATGGATTGGATCTAGGCTAAATGCACAAAAATTTATAGAAAAGGTAATGTAAAAATTGTTGGAAAATAGCTCTCTAAAGATAGGCTTTTGCAAAGACATTACAAGAAAAGAATGCTATTGACTGATATCTCTTATGATTAAAAATGAGAAAATCCTTAACAAAATACTAGCAATCCAAATCCAGCAACATATAAAAAGTGCAATGTACTTAAAGTCTAATGTACATTAAAGTATAATTTTCCTAAATAAAAGGAAAGACATCCATTTTCATTGATCTGAATACTTAATATAAAGGTGGCAGTACTTTTCAAACTGATCTACAAATTTAACACATCCCTATCAAAATCCCAAGTGGTTTTCTTATAGAAATTGACACACAGATCCTAAAATTCATATGGAAATACAAGAAAACAAGAATAACCAAACAACCTTGACAAACAACAAAGTTTAAAACCCACACCTTGGGAGGCTGAGGTCAAGTCTCTAGTGAGCTATGATTGCACCACTGCACTCCAGCCTGGGCAATGGAGCGAGACCCTGCCTTAAAAAAAAAAAAATCAAGAGCAACAACAACAGCAAACACTTTCTGATGTCAAAGTTAAAACAGACTTACAAGTAATCAAGAAATTGTGGCACTGGCATAAGGACAAACATATAGATCAATGCATTAGAGTGGAGAGCCCAGACACAAGGCCTCATGCTTACAGCTCACTGATTTTCAACAAGAGTGACAAGGCGTTTCAGCGGAGGGAATGGTGCTGGGACAACTAGATACCCACATGGAGAAGAATGAAGCTGAACCCACTACCACACACCATTTAAAACACTAATCCAAAATGAATAAAAGACCTAAATGTAAGAGCTAAAACTGTAAAACTCTTAGAAGACATGGGTGTAAATCTTCAAGTACTTGGATTTCTTAGTGGTTTCGTACATCTGTTATCAAAAGCACAAGCAACAAAAGGAAAAACAGATGGGTTGGACTTCATCAAAAGTAAACTTCTGTGCTTCAAAAGACAGTATCAAAAAGTGAAAAGACAACCCACAGAATGGGAGAAAATGTTTTCAAATCATAATCAGATAAGGAGCTTGTATCTAGAATATATAAAGAACTCTCACAGCTCAGTAATACGAAGACAACCCTATTAAAAATGGGCAAAGGACTTTGCCTTAGTCTGTTCTGTGCTGCTGTAAGGGAATAACACAGACTGGTAATTTATAAAAAAAAAAAAAAAACAGATACATTTCTTGCAGTTCTGGAGGCTAGGAAGTTGAAGATTGAGGGGCCCACATCTGGCCAGGACCTTCTTGCTGCTTCATAACGTGGCGGAAGGCAGAACAGCACACATATCAGGGAAGGGTGGGAAACTCATTCTTTTATCAGAAACCTACCCCTGAGATAGCAGCATTAATCCATTCATGAACAGAGCCCTCCCGATAGCCTAATCACCTCTTAAAGGACCCACCTCTCAACACTGGTGTGTTGGGGATTAAGTTTTCAACACATAAACTTTGGGGAACACGTTCAAACCATAGCTGACTTGAATACACATTTCTCCAAAGAAGATATCCAAATGGCCAGCAAGCCCATAAAAAGATGCTCAACATCATTAGTCATCAGGGAAATGCTAATTAAAACCACAGTGAGATACCACTTGACACCCAATAGGATAACTATAATTTTTTAAAAACCCAGATAATAGCAAGGATTAGTGAGGATGGGGAGAAGTTGGGACCCATGTGTGCTGCTAGAGGGGGTGTAAAATAGTACAGCTGCTTTGGAAAACAGTCTGGCGGCTGCTGAAACAAACATAGAGTTATCATATGATCCAGCAATTCTACTCCTAAGTATACATTCAAGATCATTGAATACATAACGTCCATGTAATTCATAATAGCTAAGAAGTAGAAACAACCCAAGCATCCTTCAACTGATAAATGGATAAACAAAATTTAATATAGCTATACAGTGGAGGAGTATTCAACTATACAAAGAAATGAAAGTACTGACGTGCTACAACATGGATGACCCTTGAAAACATGCTAAGAAGCCAGTCACAAAAGACTATATATATTATATGATTCAGTTTCTGTGACATCTCCAGAGTAGATAAACAGAAGAGACAGCAAATAGACCAGTGCTTGTCCTGGGTATGGTTGGGGGCAGTGGAGAAGGGCTGGGGGAATTGGAAGGTGACAGCTAAGGGGTACAGTTTGTCTTGAGAGTAAAAAAATATTCTAAATTTGATTGTGGGATGCTTGCACAACTCTGTGCCAAAACCTATTGAATTGTATGCTTGAAATTGGGTGAATGGTATATCTCAGTGAAGCTGTTATAAAATACCAGGTAGGCTTTGGGGTATACCTTATTTTCTCAGGATGCTGAGTTGCTTCTGTTTTGCGTTAAGTCTGTTTTGAGCTTACTGTCCTTTCTACCCTAGAGCTAAGCCTGTCTGCTGGACACCTGCAGCTGGAGCGCAGAAGCAGAGATTTCACCTCTTCTGGGAGTAGGAGGCTCTACTTTGACACTCATGCCTTAGTGTGCTTACTGGAAGACAATGGTAACCCTCTCTCATTTATCATTTAGTGCCTTAGAAAAACACTTTAAATTATGACTTCTCTTATGGTTTCATTTAGTTTCTCATACTTCTCTTTGACTTTTATTTTTTATTTGTATTTAATTTAATTAATTTATTTATTTAGAGACAGGGTCTGGCTCCATTACCCAGGCTGGATTGCAGTGGCGCAATCTTGGCCCACTGTAACCTACCTCCCAGGCTCAAGTCATCCTCCCACCTCAGCCTCCCGAGTTGCTGGGACTACAGGCACATACCACCACCCACCACGTCTGGCTGATTTTTATTTCTCTTTGACTTTCAAGCCTATGGGTAATCTTTTAATTAATCTCCATTTTTTAAGTCCTCATTTTTTGCTTGAGGACATTTTTGTTTCATCAATACACTGGAGACTTTTCTCACACATTGTCTCTTTGTCAAAGTGAAGTGTATTTCTGTAACATCACCATGGAAGTACAGTGTTATAGGTAAAAATTTAGACACAAGTCAGCAAAGCTGAGGAATGATTCCTATGACAACAGTGTCTGAAGCACAGAAGTGATAGTTTTATTACTGTGCATCTTGTGTGCTTTTTAAAATCCTGTGAAATGGAAATGTTGTCAAGTAGCAGTTCTTGATAATTTCAACTTACTGTTTTCTTTTTTCCTCCTTTTTTTTTGAGACGGAGTCTTGCCATGTCACCTAGGCTGGAGTGCAATGGCACAATCTCGGCTCACTGCAACCTCTGTCTCCTGGGTTCAAGCGATTCTCCTGCCTCAGTCTCCTGAGTAGCTGGGATTACAGGCAAGTGCCTCCATGCCCAGCTGATTTTTGTATTTTTAGTAGAGTTGGGGTTTCACCATGTCGGCCAGCCTGGTCTCGAACTCCTGACCTTGTGAGCCAGCCGCCTCAGCCTCCCAAAGTGCTGGGATTACAGGTGTGAGCCACCGCGCCTGGTCCTCTTTTTTCTTTTTAATAATCAGGCTAACATTCTCCCTTATTGCTGTTAAGGTAAAAGATTGCTCTGGTATATATGGCGTTCATTGAAAATGCACTTTAGACTTAGAATGTAGGGAAGATTCTCGTACCAAATCATATTTAGACAAATACACTGATTATAATTCTCTATATGGTGACACATTCTCAAAAATCAGAATTTCAAAATAGTGTAAATTATGCTTGTGAAATAAATTTCCCTGTGTTTTTACTTCATTGTATAGTTATTTGTCCAGTTATACATGTTTGTGTCAGAAAAGCTATTCTCTGTAGAGGTGCTTTACATGCCTAAGACAAAGTGATGGAATGAATTATTCTGTGCTTTGTGGGAGAGAGCGGCTCTGGGCTCGAGCCTAACTCTGCAGACTTCTAGTCGCGTAGCTTAGGAAGCCTTTCTCCTCTTCTCTGTTTCTATTTGCCCATCTGTAGTATGAGTGTAATAAGAATTCCAAAGATCTTTTTGAATATTAAACAAGATAATATGCATGACTGAACTTTGGAAAAACTGTCATATGCTGTGTAGTAATTTTAACTTTTCCTGTCAAACAGTAGGCTTTTTTCGCCAAAACTTCTTTCAGTTCAGAATTTAAAAGAGAAAAGTAGAAGTGAGAGGGGAGCATGTAAAGTTACTCTGATAAGGCTAGGCGAGGTGGCTCATGCCTGTCATCTTAGCACTTTAGGAGGCTGAGGCGGGAGGATCGCTTGAGCCCATGAGTTCAAGACCAGTCTGTGTAACATAGTGAGAGCCTGTCTGTACCAAAACAAAACAAACAAACAAACAAAAAAGTTGATAAGCAGAAGTCTTCCTAGTTTTCTTGATTTTAAACCTTAACCCATGATTATTTGCATCTTTCAAGACTGTGGTGTGAGGACCGCGCTGCAGTACGTGGTGTGGAGGGGCTGTTCAATCCAACATGGATGAGTGGGGCGGGTGTCTGAGATGACTGGCTGAGTAGGAGGCCAGGAAGGACTTTTTAAGGCATATTCTACCCTTTCTTTATCCAGACCTGTGTCTTCAGATTAACAGAATTTCTCATATGCCTGTGATCTCACTGACCCTGGTTCTGTCCTATTCCCTTGTGTCTACAAAAAATTAATTTCTGCCTCATAACTCAGTAGGTTTTCAGGTTTCTACTTTTTCTTATCCCTTTCTCCTCCCACAAGTGGTTATAAAGTATATGGCTTTAGAGTTTGTTTTACAATCAACATAAGTTCTCTTTCTACCTTTATTTTTCTTTTCCTTTTTCTTTTTTTTGAGACAGAGTCTCACTCTTTCGCCCAGGCTGGACATGCAGTGGTGCAGTCCTGCCTACTGCAACCCCCGCCTCCTGGTTTCAAGCGATCCTCCCACCTCGTCCTCCTGAGTTATTGGGATTACGAGCTTACACCACCACACCTGCATAATTTTTCTGTATTTTTAGTAGAGATGGGATTTCACCATGTAGGCCAGGCTGGTCTCAAACTCCTGATCTCAAGTGATCCACCCTCCTTGGCCTTCCAAAGTGCTGGGATTAGAGGCATGAACCACTGTGTCCAGCCGCCAAAACTAATTATGTTTAAACATGAACTCTTTTTTTTTTAATTAAAAACATTTTTAAATTTTATTTACATTAAAATGGAGATGGGATCTCACTATGTTGCCCATGCTGGTTTTTTAAACTCCTGGGCTCAAAGGTCCTCCTGCCTTGGCCTCCCAAAGTGTTAGGATTACAGGCGTGAGCCACGACACCCAGCCAGTGAACTCTTCTTAATAAAGCTTTAAAATTTACAAAAGTTTAGGTTGAGTTTTTAAAAACTAGGAAGACAGACTAGAAAAAAGAAAACAGATTCAGAGCTAAACAATGTTAACATTTTGGTGGGTAACCTTTTATTTTTTTTTTCCTAGACATGTGCACAACACACATGTTGAAAAATTAAAGGATTTTGATGAAAGTGATGGCAATAGGTCTTTGGAGGTTTTTTCCTTCTCCTTTAAATCTGTGTCTTTGGTTTTTTTGTTCATTATAGTCCGATGCTTCATCTCATCCAAACAAATTCCATTAATTAAGTACTACTTTATTCTAATACACAATTAATTACAGGAATCAATAGATTCTTCTGAAATACTTATAGCTAGAAGCATTTAATAGAACTGTTTCCCAGGCACTCAGTTTTAAGCATTTAATTAGAATTTATGTGAAATATGAGTTACTATGCAACGTTTTTAAAAACAGTACCAAGTACTGGCCAGGCGTGGTGGCTCACACCTGTAATCCCAGCACTTTGGGAGGCCAAGGCAGGCGGATCACCTGAGGTCGGGAGTTTGAGAACAGCCTGACCAACATGGAGAAACCTCATCTCTAATGAAAATACAAAATTAGCTGGGCATGGTGGCACATGCCTGTAATTCCAGCTACTCCGGAGGCTGAGGCAGGAGAATGTCTTGAACCTGGCAGGTGGAGGTTGCTGTGAGCTGAGATAATGTCTTTGCACTCCAGCCTGGGCAACAAGAGCAAAACTCTGTCTCAAAAAAAAAAAAAACTAAAACAAAAAAGAACAAGTACTGCATTGAATCCTCTATCATTCAATTCAGTATCATATACTGACTACCAAAGAACATATTTTTTCCACTTTGGGTCCCCCAGACCTAGTTACTGAAGAGAATTGTGCAGGAAAAATGAAAGAATGGATTTTGTCTTTTAACATTAAGTTAGCCAACAGCTAGATGACTATATAGTCAATGATTTGACTGCCTTATGCTAGACATGAAACCGCTGAGCTTTCCTATTTAAGGAAATTATTTTTTAATAAAGTACACATTACAAAATTAAAGAAATATTGTCCACCATAGAACATCTACATAATGCAGAGAAACATGAAGAAGAAAACAAAAATTACAATGAATCTTTGTTAAATTATAAAAACAAGAATTGCATCTGTAATTTTGAGTCTTGCCTTTTTTCACTTGACATTGACTTGCCGGCATTGTCTATGTCATTAAATAGTTTCTGAAAACATGACTTTTGATAGCTAGGAAGGACTTACAAATCAGTCAGCAAAGCCACCGGTACCTGGGGAAGCCAGCTTATGTTTCGTGCTTGCTCTGAGTGACCAGCACGTGGTAGTTTGTGGCTCGGCCCTCCTCCCTGCCTCCTACCACACTGTGCTGTACCCCTGCTCCTGGATTTGGACATTCACATGAATGTGTGCATTTGCTGTGGGCTTTTGTAACTCTGAGCATGATTTTTTTTGCCTGTGTACTTGCTTAGGGTTTGCTACTCAACAAGCAGAAATCATTGTGTCTGCACTGGTCAAGATCCTGGAAGCCAACATGGACGTCGTCTACAAAGATATGGTCACCAAGATGCAGCAGGTTAGCCTTGTCGGGTGGCTTAGCACATTAGGACTGTGAGGATGGGGTATTGTTTGTAGTAATGTTTGAATGTAATTTTTTAGATAATACCCAGTTGAAAAGTATATAGTAACTTTTACCATGATGAAGAGGCAAAAGATTACAGTGGCATAAAAAATACTTACTCAGAGCCATTTAGTCAACGGTTGTAGAATTGTTATGCTTGAAAGCTCACTGTTCAAAATTATTCCAGTGAAATATACTTTAATAAATGGAGACATGGCCTGAATTACAGTATTGTAGCATCATGTTCTCAAGTCTTCAGATCACCACTCTTTTAGCTGTGATTCACTTGGTAACGATAACCAGATATGTGGTTTTTGTCTTTTTTTGTGTGTTTTGTGTTTTCTTTTTGAGACAGGGTCTCACTCTTTCACCCAGGCTGGAGTGCAGTGGTGCAGTCTCAGCTCACTGCAGCCTTGACCTCCTCGGTTCAAACAATCCTCCCAAGTAGCTGGGACTACAGGTGTGCACTGCTACAACTGGCTAATTTTTGTACTTTTTGTAGAGATGGGTTTCACCATGTTGCTTAGGCTGGTCTCGAACTCCTTGGCTCAAGCAATCCTCCTGCCTTAGCGTCCCAAAGTATTGGGATTACAGGTGTGAGCCACCTTGCCTGGCCGGATATGTGGGGGTTTTTTTCCTTTTCCTTTTCCCGTTTTGGAATAAAGGATGACTTTACTGAACCTCTTCTTGTGTCCACATTCTCCTGGTTTCTCAATGAGAAGATAGCACATGGAGATGATAGGAAGTGGACTTTTTAGGGTAGACTAGATTATGTGTTTTGTTTTTCTTTTCCTAGGAAATCACTTTTCAGCAAATAATGTCTCAGATTGCGAATGTGAAAAAGGATATGATTATTTTGGAGAAGAGTGAATTTTCAGCCCTCAGAGCAGAAAATGAGGTAAAACAGCCACTCACACTTAGAAAGCTGATTATATTAAGACATTGAGATAAAATATATACACATAAAAGACCTCACATAAGTGTACATCTCAGTGAATTTTCAAACAGTGTGTACTTCCAGTCAGATCGAGCAGGAAAACTTGACCAGTGTCCCAGAAGTCCTTCTCGTGCCTCTCAGTTGCCCCTGCCGCAGAGGAAACTCTGTCCTGGCTGATAACACCATTGACTAGTTTCGCCTATTCTAGAACCATTTGATGGTATCATGCTGTGTGTCCTGTAGCAAGAGATCATTTTTTTCATTGTCTGTAGTCTTACGTGAATATGCCCCCATCATTCTATTGTAATGTAAATTAGAATTATTTCCAGTTTTTGGTTATTTTGAATAATTGCTGCTGCAAAATATCTCTTGCGTTCCTTTAAATAGAGCATATGGGATCAGCATGTAAATAAGTGCTCTCGCTGCATCTTTTATTTTCAGTCATTTTTAAAGTCCCATAGGGAAGGCCATTTATTGCCTGTTGACCCTAGCCTTGTAAGAAGCCTTCTAGCAAAAAGTAAAGTGGTAAAGTTTCAGATTCTCTAGGTTGTCCTTGAAATCAGTTAATTGAGGGTAGAATTGGTTAAAAGATAAACTGAAGGAGATACTAAATAAAGCAGGGTCACTGAAGGCAAATGTGTGTGCCAAACACAACTGAGTTAACTTTACGTAGCCTTCAATATGAATTCAAACTTATTTCAGGATACATGTGTTGTAATGCCATTCTGCAAACAATACGGTGTTCTGAATGGAAGAAAAACTCGAAGAACTTGTGCATAAATACATATTGTAATATTTGTTGATAACTGCATTTTATGTTGTTCTTTCTAAAGACTTATTTTTTTAATGTGTTTTTAGAAAATAAAACTCGAACTACATCAGTTAAAACAACAAGTAATGGTAAGATTCACTTTCCTGTTTGTTGGCTTGTTTGTAATTATATAAACTTATTAATAAGTATAATATTAGAAATGGATATTTTTGAAACTTAATTCTATGTGAAATGTTTGTGTAATATGCCTCAAAAGTACACATTGGAAGATTTAGCTAAGAATACAGCCAATGAATGAATTATTGTTGTGTGTAACCATATTCATTAAGAAAATTGTGGCCGGGCATGGTGGCTAATGCCTGTAATCCCAGCACTTTGGGAGGCCGAGGCGGGTGGATCACCTGAGGTCTTGGCCAACATAGTGAAACCCTGTCTCTACTAAAAATACAAAAATTAGCTGGGCATGGTGGCGGGCGCCTGTAATCCCAGCTACTTGGGAGACTGAGGCAGGAGAATCACTTGAACCCGGGAAGTGGAGGTTGCAGTGAGCCGAGATTGCGCCATTGCACTCCAGCCTTGGCAACAAGAACGAAACTCTGTCTCAAAAAAAAAAAAAAAAAAGAAAAGAAAAAAAAATTGCGTTCTAGGAGGAATTAAGTCATTTTTAAGTCAAAGTTTTTCTAAAGTAGCTGCATGGAAGGAACCCTTAAATTCTCTTAGACTGTCTTTAGAGAAACACACGTGATTTTTAAATGCTTACTGTGCCAGCTATTTGATGTTTTTTTAAATAGCAAAAACATAGATGTTAAAGAAAAAAAAGACTTTGATGTGTATCAGAGAAAAGGCTCTGTGTAAACCAGATTTTAATATTTGGCTGCTTTGAGTCCATCTTTGCCTTCCAAAGTTGTTTAAGATCAGCTTTATTCATAAGTTCCATTCAGAGATTGTATGAGGAGTCTTGAGGTTAAAAGCAGCAACAGGCTGGGCGCGAAGGCTCACGCCAGTAATCCAGCACTTTCGGAGGCCTAGGTGGGTGGACCACAAGGTCAGGAGTTCGACACCAGCCTGACCAACATGGTGAAACCCCATCTCTACTAAAAATATAAAAATTAGTAGGGCGTGGTGGCATGCGCCTGTAATCCCAGCTACTTGGGAGGCTGACGCAGGAGAATTGCTTGAACCCAGGAGGCAGAAGTTACAGTGAGCGGAGATCATGCCATTGCACTCCAGCCTGGATGACAGAGCAAGACTCCATCTCAAAAAAAAAAAGGCATCAACAACCGACTCTAGACTGGCATAAGCATAGAAGGGGGTTATTTGTGTCTAACTGGGAAGTCCTGGGATGGGCTCCAGATGTGGCTTGGCCAGAGTTCCCTGATGCCAGGAGGCTTAGGTCCATTTCTCTGGAAGCCCCTGGCTCTGTCCTTCCCTGGGCTGCCTCCCCTAGGATAGGGACAGTGGGGGCAGTGGTCCCGCCATCACGTCCTCAGAGAGTTTGGGTTTCTTACTTTGGATTTCTCCTTCTTTGTTGTTTGCCTTCCTTTTAGGATGAAATGATCAAAGTCCGAACAGATACCAAATTAGACTTCAACCTAGAAAAGAGCAGAGTAAAAGAATTGGTACGTTCCTTTACTAAAAATACATTATGAATTAATTTATTTTTGGAGTGGAATGCTTGGTTAAGCCTAAGTTTATATACATGTCATAGGTACTGTTAAATATCTGTTTATCAGTGTTAGGCTGTATTTTCTCCATTATATTCATTTTGGATTTAGATGTAAATTTGATGCTTTCAAAAGTAACATTAAAATTAAAATGCTAGTCAAATGAGTCAATTTGAATCTTTGTTTCAGAAATTATACATATGTGTTACATAGACATTCATAAAGAAATTAAATGCAATCTTGATCTATTTAATACTGACTTAAATCTTCATAGGTCTTGATCTTGGAAAAGTTAAGTTGATTATCTCAGGCTTGAATAATAGTAAATTATTAATATAAAGTAATATTAAATTATAGACTGGAATTCAAGATTAAAACATTTCTGGCTGGGTGCAGTGGCTCACGCCAGTAATCCCAGCACTTTGGGAGGCCAAGATGGGCAGATTACCTGAGGTCAGGAGTTCGAGACCAGCCTGCCTGCCCAACATGGTGAAACCCTGTCTCTACTAAAAATACAAAAAATTAGCCGGGCATGGTGGCGGGCACCTGTAATCCCATCTACTCAGGAGGCTGAGGCAGGAGAATCTCTTGAACCTAGGAAGCAGAGGTTGCAGTGAGCTGAGATCATGCCACTGCTCTCTAGCCTGGGCAACAAGAGCAAAACTCAGTCTCAAAAAAAAAAAAATTCTATGTTGTATTTTAAATGCAGTGAGAAGTTCATGAGGGTATTTTGTTTTGTTTTGTTTTGTTTTGTTTTGTTTTTGGTGTTTTTGAGACGGAGTCTTACTCTGTTGCCGAGGCTGGAGTGCAGTGGCACCATGTCGGCCCACTGCAGCCTCTGTCTCCTGGGTTCAAGCAGTTCTCCTGCCTCGGCCTCCCGAGTAGCTGGGATTACAGGCGCCACCACCCCGCCCGGCTAGTTCTTATATTTTTAGTAGAGACAGGGTTTCACCATGTTGGCCAGGCTGGTCTCAAACTCCTAACCTCAAGTGATCTGCCCACCTTGTCCTCCCAAAGTGCTGGGATTACTGGAGTGAGCCATCACGCCCGGCCTAAGGGTGTTTTAATAAAGATATGTGTCAGGTTGCCTCTAGTGATGTTTAACCCTGTCTGAATCTTCAGCTGTCTTTTTGCTCGGACTTTATTTGAATTTGGTAACATCGGGTGCCTTTTTTATTCTCAGCATAATGAGAAATAGGACAGAGAGCATCTTGCACCAACACAAAACTGAATACACATGCAGAAACTGAGTACTCACAGCTGTTTGTTGTCTTCACATTTTTGACAATTTGCTTTTAATTAAAATGTGCTGTAATAATAAATGAAGCTAATACTGCAACTCAAAAAAGTAACCTACTTGTATTTTGGAACTGCCACTGGATTTCAAGAGTTAATCCGAGCTTCATTATACAAAACAATTATTAAGGCTGTGTTACCTGTCTTTCTAGTCTTACAACAACGTCTCCACCCATAAAGATTAAATCACCTAGTATTACTAAAATAGTTAATGGCTATAGCATGTCACTGCTGTCCAGAAGAGGAGAAACTCTTTTGGTTATCTTTGTCTTTATGGGTTGTGTACTCAAGAAAAACCGGATTCACTTGATGTAGGAAAATGACCGCATGTAGCTAACCAACCTGGGAAAAACTACATAAAGGACATCAGGAAATACAGGGCATGAATGTAGATGAAAGCCAGTGAATTTTTAAAAAATTTTATGTGGAGTCATTTTAATAACATAACTAGGCTGATACATATGTACATTTTTCAATCATGTAACATTTAGATTTTACTCATTTTAAGTCCGTGACATCATCCAGCAAACAAAAATTTTCCAGAAAATTTTTTCACAATTATAGTTTTTGTCTTTTAACCAAAATGAAAAAATTTCTGCCGGGCATGGTGGCTCACACCTGTAATCCCAGCACTTTGGGCGGCCGAGGTGGGTGGATCACCTGAGGTCAGGAGTTTGAGGCCAGCCTGGCCAACGTGGTGAAACCCTATCTTTACCAAAAATACAAAAATTAGCCCGGCTTGATGGCAGTTGCCTGTAGTCTCAGCTACTCAGGAGACTGAGGCAGAACAATCATTCGAACCCAGGAGGCAGAGATTGCGGTGAGCTGAGATCACACCACCGCACTCCAGCCTGGGTGACAGAGCAAGACCCTGTCTCAAAAAAAATTTCATTCTTCAAATACTCATATTTTTAAATTATTAGATATATAGAGTAGATCCATTCAGTGTTCTTATAAAATAAGAAAAGTAAAGCTTACAATATTTTGCAGATTTGATAATACAGCACTCAAAATACTTAACCTGATTTTATTTTACTTGAATTTACTAGTTAACTATGCTGATAAATATAATTTACATGTAATTATTTTATCTGGAATGACGATATTGACCTTAATCTCCAGGAAGCAACCAGTGCACAGAGTTTCAATTAAATCCTATCCATCATGACAGTAACTTTTTCTACATGACACAAAAGTGTCTTCATGGTATATTTGAACAGTAACGGTGACTATGAATTGTTCTTATAGTCTTTTTTTAGTGTTTCATTATTATTATTTTAATTTCAATAGGTTTAGGGGGAATAGGTGGTGTTTGGTTACATGAAGAAGTTATTTAGAGGTGATTTCTGAGATTTTGGTGGCCCCATCACCCTAGCAGTGTACACTGTACCCAGTGTGTAGTCTTTTGCCCCTCACCCACCTCCCACCCTTTCCCCCCAGTCCTCAAAGTCCGCTGTATCATCCTTTTGCCTTTGCATCCTCATAGCTTAGTTCCCATCAAGCCAGTGAATTTATGTGATTTAGTACCCTAACTGGGAGGTTGTTCTTGGTAATTGTAAACTTAGATTACTCTGAAGCACAAGGTAGTAGTAAATTTTAAAGTGAGTGTGTTTGTTACATGCATTGGTGAAGATGAGTTTTTTGGCTCTCATTCTTTTGGTAAAGTTATAATGTTAAATATTAAATTGAAAATTAACTATGATATTTACAGCCAGTTCCAAAAGCAGTATGGCATATAAAGTTTTTGGGCATGGGGACATATAGCTACATAGATGTTATTTTTAAAACCATGGCAGCATCAAGATTTAGGCTTTTCTTTTGTGGGTGAGTCGATGTTGAGTTAATGAAGACAGGTTTAGTGATGCACAAAATCTTGTTCCACGCCGCCCTCTAGTGGTGATCTGATGCATAGGGCTCTCCTGGTCTGAAACCCTGAGGTTTAAAGAGCCTTATTCTTGGTTTTACAACCTACTCCTTGCCTTAGGGTTTGGGGGTTTTGTGTTTGGTTTTGTTTTTCTCTCTCTCTCTCTTATTTTTTTTTTACTTCTAAGTTCCCAGTAGTCCCAGGAGAACATTTTACAGCTAGAAAGTTTCTATATATTTCAAAGCATTAACTTTTTCTCTGTATAACAAGGTTAATGTAGGTCTTAAAAGTCTTCATTTAAATTACTCATTGTCATTTGCTCAATTAAATCCTGTTGCCCACTACTAAGGCGATAAGTCTGATTTCAATCTTATTGTGTCCAAAACTGCAGTAAATCTTTTCACTAACATTAATAACCAAAGGTGAGATACTTTAACTCTGGGTAGAATTAGTTCCTTTAGGAACACTGGATTATGACTATGCCCAAGTGGGTTTTTTTTATTATTAAAACCAACATGTGCAGGAGGCTAAGGCAGAATTGCTTGAACCCGGGAGGCAGAGGTTGCAGGGAGCCGAGATCAAGCTGCTGCACTGCAGCCTGGGCAATAGAGTGAGACTCCATCTCAAAACAGAAAAACAAACAAAAAAACCCCAACATGTGGTGAGTTAGTGTATTAATGTATTTACATTGTGTTTTATAATCACAGCACAATGTCTTTGTCATAGAATAATAATCCTTGCCGCTGTTTTTTCCCCAACTTCATACTTTCCCTGTCTTGTGTTGAGACTCAAGTAGTGACTTGTTTTGCTACTAGTTATGATGGGATAGCTCCTAAATTGAGTTGAGTCTCCATTTTCAATCCTCTTAAAACCAAAAACCATATGACTCAGCATCCGTGGAAATTGGTCCCCAGAGAGTGCTGCTGCAACAGTGGGAGGGACCGAAAGCCGTCACAGGAAAGATGCAGGGAGAAGTGATAGGTGACTAAGGAAATCCAGATATTGGAGGAATGAGTAAGTATACATAAGAAACTTTAGCCAGCATGGTAGATCATGCCTATAATCCCAGCACCTTGGGAGGCCAAGGTGGGCAGATTACTCAAGCTTGGAAGTTTGAGACCAGCCTGGGCAATATGGCAAAACCCCATCTCTATGAAAAAAAAAAAAAAAAAGAAACTTCAAATAACAGATATAAAGAGGCAGGTAGGCTACTTCATCCCAGAGTTGACTTTCTGGTGTTACATATTCTAGGAGTTACTGAGACCAGAATATTTAAGGCACCAGAGAAGGAGAAGAGAGAGGAGTAGATCAGAATCTGACCCATGTTACGTGTTTATTTCAGTATTCATTGAACGAAAAGAAGCTGCTGGAATTGCGAACAGAAATAGTGGCATTGGTAAGAAATGAGACTTTGATTTTTCTTTATCATTGTATTCATCTTTGCTTCATCCCATGCATGGTTGCTTGTAATGATAATAGGAACTTACATGCAGGTTTACTGTCATGGGAATTTTTTACATTGTGCTAAAATACACATAACATAAAAATTATGATCTTAACCATTTTTAAGTGTAGAGTTCAGTGGTATTAAGTACATTCACATTTTGGGGCAACCATCACCACTGTCTATCACAGAACTCTTTATTTTGCAAAACTGAAACTCTGCACCCTTTATACATTCCCTTTTCCAAACCCTGGCAACCTCCTTTCTACTGTCTATGAATTTGACTATTCTACATACCTCATATAAATAGAACCATAGTGTTTGTCTTTTTGTGGCTGGCTTATTTCACTTAACACAGTGTCCTGAAGGTTCATCCATGTTGTTGCAATGACAGGACTTTCTTCGTTTTTAATGCTGATTAGTATTCCATTATATGTATATACCACATTTTCTTTATTCATCTGTCAAGGGCACTTGTGTTGCTTCCACCTGTTGACTTTTGTGAATAGTGCTGCAGTGGGCATGGGTGCACAGATGTCTGTTGGGACCCCTGCTTTCAGTTCTTTTGGGTATATATGCAGAAGTGGAATGCCACAGGATTTTTTTTGCACTTCATAAAATATTTGGTTATCTTAATGGAAGATAGTTATCCTATGAAAGATTTAACTTTCTTAATGAAAGTTTCCTTTTCTTCTTTTTTTTTATGAGATGGGGTCTCGCTCTGTCACCCAGGCTGGAGTGCAGTGGTGCAGTCTCAGCTCCACTGCACCCTCCTTCACCTCAGCCTCTAGAGTAGCTGGGACCACAGGTGCGCACCACCACACCCTGCTTGAAAGTTTGTTTTTCTGAACGAAAGTTTTACTAAGAAAGTTTAAATCTCACTAATTGAAGAATAGTGAGGAATGGAGAAGTCTTATTCTATTTTTAATTTATAGCATACATTACTCCTTTTCCATACTGTACGGAACCTGGGGCCTCTGAAACACCCAAGAGGCTTTCATGAGAGAATTCCAGAATCCTGGGATATTTCTCTGGAATAATTTTCTACTCATCCAGGCATTTATTTCTTTCTTTCCCTGCCTGAATTGGTAGATTCCGTTGCTCTAGAAATTTTAGTGAAGTATTCCCACGGTTTTTATGCATTAATGCAGTTATACAACCCCCTATAAGGTCGGCCAAACCCACTGCCTTTGAGGGTTGATTATGTATCCAGTTTAACTGTATTGTATTTGGGGAAGGACACAAATTGGCCCTGGGTAGCCAAGCCTCATAGCAATGAAACACTTGATATTTGAACATGGAAGAAGAAAGTTTTTTAAAAATATGACTAGAAATAGCTCAAGACAAGCACTGCCGGTTTTACATTACCTAAGACTCCATTTCTTGAAAACATTTTTGAGTTTACTGTATATCTTTGACTAAGGAGGATTTAGAAGGATGTGCCGTAGCTGTTGCCTTTGAGAACAGACTGGCCTCATAATGCCACATCATTTATATAGCAACCTAGAGCTTACAAATGCTTTTTCACATAGATTATCACATTTGATTTTCTAAACAGTCCAGGTAAAGGCAGGGCCACTGGTTTGGTTGTTTCATTTTGTTCTGTTTTCATTTTTTCAAATAGAAGAAAACTAAGGCCTAGAGAGGTTAAGGGTCCTGACGAATGCAGCATAGCATTAGGATCTTCACACTGAGACTAAAGCCCAGGCCTCCGTAGTCTTATCCAGGTTTCCCTGTGACTACGCCCCATTGGGAATGAGCTATAGGATGGTGAACAGAGGGGACATGCTGTGGTCTAACGCTGTGACTCTCTTCATTTTAAAAGCATGCCCAGCAAGATCGGGCCCTTACCCAGACAGATAGGAAGATCGAAACTGAGGTTGCTGGCCTCAAAACCATGCTTGAGTCACACAAGCTTGATAATATTAAATATTTAGCAGGTAAGCTATTTTATATCTATTTAAATCAACCGGAAAAGAAAATAAATTTATAAAATAAGTCATTGACAGATACTGTGTTTCATTGATTCCAACACTTTCTGAAATATTTTAACATCTCTGAAATTGGAAAGCATCTTACAGTTTCCAATAGATGAAGTATCATACTTTAATTGGCACTTTTTCTTTCTTAGTAGTAAATAAAGTAATTGTGTACTTTATAATTGATAGAATTGGAAATTTGATAAGATACTGTAATCGAAGTATAGTTATTAGGGATTTTAATGAGATTCAAGACAGGAAATATTTTATGGATAAAATGGAAGGTGTTTCAGTTGTAATCTTTCTGCTTCAATTGGCGACACTCCTTTTAAGGAGTTACTTTACTTTCGAGATTTTTGATCCAAAAGAGAGAATGAACATTCATGTACCACCCCTGCACCCAAATTAACCATTATTTCAAGTCAGATTTAGCATCTTGAATTAATGAAATATTTTAAGGTCACAGCAGTATTTAACAGTGAAGTGTTGTTCTTTATATTAAATTGTGGGTCCCTGTCTATATAGTGCATATACGTAGACCTTGTGACCACGGAATTTTTGTGATTTGAAATGTTCATTGAAAAGTTTTCTTAGCCTAGGCAACACAGTGAGACCTAGTCTCTACAAAACAATTTAGCCAGGCATGGTGTCATCCGCCTGTAGCTTCAGCTTCTTGGGAGGCTGAGGCAGGAGGATCGCTTGAGCCCAGGAGTTTGAGGCACAGTGAGCTGTAATCACACCATTTCATGGTACACACCACCTGGGTGCCAGATGAGACCGCGTCTCTAAAACAAGAAAATAAAATAAGGGGTATGGGATTTGTTTTTCAGTAGGCAGGTGTTTCATGGAATATGGCACATCAGTGAGCAATCTAAGTTTCTAGGTTTTCTTAGTAAATAAGTGAATAAGTGTGTGTTTTCTTAAAAAAAGATGTTCCCTCAAGTAACTTAATAGAACTAATAGTACTCTCAATTGTTTTTTTCTTACAGGGTCTATATTTACATGCCTAACAGTAGCTCTGGGATTTTATCGCCTATGGATCTAATAAAGTGTCTATTTAAAGAGATTTCTACTGTTTTGCCTTAAGAATACCAGATTGTTGGCCAGGCACGATGGCTTACGCCTGTAATCCCAGCACTTTGGGAGGCCGAGGTGGATGGATCACCTGAGGTCAGGAGTTCGAGACCAGCCTGGCCAACATGGTGAAACCCCATCACTACTAAAAATACAAAAATTAGCTGGGTGTGGTGGCACGCACCTGTAAGCCCAGCTACTTGGGAGGCTAAGGCAGGAGAATCACTTGAGCCTGGGAGGCGGAGGCTACAGTGAATTATGGACACTTAACCAAGGTAAAGAAGTCAGGTATTCCATAGCCTTTCCTTATCTCCTTTCCGCTTAGTTGACTTTCTAACTGAGCGGCGCACAGTGCGGGGAAGACTCCACTCAGCCAGACCAGGGAGCCTGGTCTTGCCTGTGGTTCACACCAACAGCAAACATGGGTGTAATTCTCTACAACTTAAATCTTTGGCATATAGAGGATTTGAGGGTCTCCATGTTCAGGGTACAGTGGCTTTAATAAGTGCTGGAAAATCACTGAAGCTAAACCAAGAGCACCAGATCCTCTTTATCTAAATACCCAGTCTCTAACATGAGGTAGTCCCTGTACCAGAGTATTGTTTCAGCTGTAGGTGGTTGTTATGTTAATAAGACAGCTGTACCTCTACCTTCTTTTCTTTTGATTTCCATTGTCTTGGTAAGTTATTGTTAGGGTTATTTTTAATATGCCTTCCAGCCAGAAAAATCAGCTGTCTAATGAAGCATTGCAATTGTAATGGGGACTCTTTTACCTCTTATAGTGCAAGATTTTCCCTCCTCCCTCCCTCTTTCCTTCATGGTCTGCGAACTGTAATAATACTGCACTGGTGTTATTACCTCCCTAGAAAACCTGCTGATTCTTAGCACGGAACTCTGCTTCAGTTTGCAGGACAAAGTCTGCTTCCTTCTGGTCTTCATTTACTTTTTATACAAGGGATGCCCTCAGCTCTCCATGTGTAAGATACCTAGATGATGGATACATATTTCATAAATGAAATTTACGTCATTAATGAATATCCCCCTGCCCACAACCAGCTCAGGCTTTCAAAATTTGAGAATGGTCATGCCACACAGCATCCTAATCTAGATTGACTAATTCTGGTGTTAAAAACATTCTCATACCTACCTTACCTTTATATTGAAAACAAATTCTAGATACAACTGGGGTTATTCTGGAAAAGCACATTCTCTTCTTTTTTTTTTTTTTGAGACGGAGTCTCGCACTGTCGCAGGGCTGGAGTGCATCGGTGTGATCTCTGCTCACTGCAACCTCCGCTTCCCGGGTTCAAGCGATTCTCCTGCCTCAGCCTCCTGAGTAGCTGGGATTATAGGTGCCCACCACCGTGCCTAGCTAATTTTTGTATTTTTAGTAGAGACGTGGTTTCACCATGTTGGCCAGGCTGGTCTCTAACTCCTGACCTCGTGATTCGCCCGCCTTGGCCTCCCAAAGTGCTAGGATCACAGGCATGAGCCACTGCCCCTGGCCCATTCTCATCTTATTCAAATTACTGGCACATGGGCAAGAATAAGCATTTTGGAGACAATGACATTGATAGAACCTTTTCTGCCTTTCTCTGCATACACACATATGCACACAGGTACAGTGGAGGAGCCACAGGCAGATTTTTTGATCAGTTTGGTGAATACATTACTCGTTGTCACTGTTCCAATCACATTGGTAAAAACGTAGTTACCTTTTGTCCTTTGGATATCATGTCTAAACTTTGGAAAATATAAATCATTGCCCTTTTAGAGAATGTTTGTGTAGTCCAAAGATTCTGAGCTCCATATGATATGAACATCAAGTACTTTTGCAAGAGCAATAGCAGTTTCAAAGCGAAATATTATAATTTAGTCTTTTCCAAGTAGATAAAAAATTCTTAACTGATCAGTAAAATACGTTATCAATATATTGTCCCCCTTTCAGAGAAAAGTCCCCAGAAGAGACTGCACACTTAGCAATTGCCCTCATTATCAAAGGCCTAGGTGACTGGCATAAAGAGCCATATGCAATTATGTATCAAGGTAAACATTACCTAACCTTGTGTAGGTTAAAAACTGAAGTGTCCTTGTCTCCTGATAAAACATTTTTAAAATAACATATGGTGGGGTGACATTTTTGCATCTGCTAAAAGTTTTCTCACATGTCATTCTTCCTCATGATAGCGGGCTGCATCATTCAGGCACCTAATTTGGGTGTTCGATTTTCCTGTAGAGTTCTCTGCAGTACAGCATAGCCGCTTTTTGGCCTTGGAAACAGTGAACTCTTTTTTTGATGGTGTGGATTGCATGCATATCTGGAGTGAGGAGGGTTCAGGACTGTTTTCGCTTTATTTGGTCAAATGTATTCTATTTGAAAACCATTTGAGCCCAAAATACAAGTGTACCCTTCCCACTTCTGGCTCAAGCATCTGTGAGCCGACTAGACGTAATATTAAAACTTCCTGAGCCTGGGCGTGGTGGCTCATGCTTATAATCCCAGCACTTTGCGAGGCCAAGGGAGGCAGATCACCTGAGGACAGGAGTTGGAGACCAGCCTGGCCAACATGATGAAACCCTCTCTCTTCTAAAAATACAAAAATTAGCCAGGCATGGTGGCACACACCTGTAATCCCAGCTTCTTGGGAGGCTGAGGCAGGAGAATCGCGTGAACCCAGGAGGCAGAGGTTGCAGTGAGCCGAGATTGCACCACTGCAACACTCACTGCAACAAGACTCGCACGCAGATGAGATCTGCCTGGGTGACAGAGTAAGACTCTGTCTCAAAATAAAGAAATAAGTAAGTAAATAGAACCTCCTGAGCTACCCTGGCTTATAAGGATTCAGGAATTACTTTAGGAAATTAGGCATTAGCACCAGGAAGAGGGAAGATGGCTGGCAAAACTTCTGGCTAGCAACCTATGTCTAGCACAGCGGGAACTAATCATAGCGAGATCCGGAACACATATCCTTCTAGGTGCGGGTGGAGGGAACGACGTCCAATGCCTGAAGCAGCACCTCATGTGGACAGAATGTCTGTATTTCCCTCTCCTGCACGAATCACTCGTCATTCTTAGAGGGCTCCTCTGCATTCCTCCGTTTCTTCTCTCCCCTCCCCTGCCTTTTATCTTTTCTAAAGAGCCTGAACTCCGATTTCCATGCTCTCCTGCTGCATTAATAAGCAAAACCTGCTTGTGTGTACGGTTCTTTACTGGAAACACAACTTTTTGTTTCTGTGTTGGTTTTACTGTCATCCAGTTTTCTAGCTTAATATCTAGCAAAACTAAATCTGAGTGTACTCGCTTTTTCCGTTAAGTATGCCAAGCAGCTCAGTTGAAAGGCTTGACTCAAACCAGAAGTCTTGCTGGAATTCGTCTCTGAACACTTGAGAAGCAGAAAGCCTGAGCCACAGCAAACATGCCTCTGTGTGCCGGGATAGCCTTTGTCTCCGCTTCCATGTGGCTTTTCCCTTTGTAGCTATGCTTAGTGACATAATCTTCCCTCTTCTCTTCTAGCCTCCTCCTTTCAGGCCTGTCTGTTAATTAACCATGTCAGTATTGGCAAGCAATTATCTTCCCCCACCCTAACATGTGATCTTCTAAGAATTGTGCAAAATTCTAAACAAATATAGAGATGTTATAATAGAATTCATGTCTAGAAAACTTTAAGTTCATCAAATTGGTTGTGGCTTTTTTGGCACTAAGGCAAAAACATGTTAACCAGAAATAATTTATTCTTCATGTATGTAAAATATTTGAGAATGTTTAGCCTTTTATTAGAATTTTATTTGGAAAATATTTATCTTTCTACACATTTTACACTTACATTCCTTCGCTTATAACCCAGTTTCTTAACTGTTTTGTTACTTAAGCAGATATTCAATTATGTTTTATTATCTAATAAAGTGTAAGATTCTTACTATCTAAAATATTTAATTCTGTGTGACTCATACACTTTCCTGATCATTCAAATTGAATATGAAAAGCTAGAATAAGTGTATTGCAACTGTTAATTCCAGCCAATTGTATAATGATAACACTGATGAATTTGTAAGTAAATCTAATACTTGAAAATTTGGGTATACATAGAAAATAAATTTTAATATAATGTACAAAATAAATTTTCATCATTCAAAATAATTTCTTTAGCATGTTCATGTTATGAGTAGTTTTATACAAGCTACTTGTTTGAGGGGAAATGATGAGGTTTAAACACAGCTTTTTAGAAATAGACAATTTTTTCTTTTTTTTTTTGAGATGAGATACTACTCCATTGCCTAGGCTGGATGGAGTGCAGTGGTGCAGTCACTGCTCATGGCAGCCTCGACCTCCCAGGCTCAAGCAATCCTCCCACCTCAGCCTGGGACCCGAGCAGCTGGGACCATGGGCATGCGCCACCACACCCAGCCAATTTTCTTCTATTCTTTGTAGAGATGGTGTGTCACTATGTTGCCCAGGCTGGTCTCAAACTTCTAAGCTGAAGCCATCCTCCTGCCTCAGCCTCCCAAGTGCTGCTACTACAGGCATGAGCCACCGCATCTGGCTGAGAAATACACAATTTTTAAAAATACCTGGCCGGGCACGGTTGGCCTTGTCTGTAATCCCAGTAGTATGGGAGGCCAAGGCGGGTGGGTCACTTGAGCCCTGGAGTTCAAGACCAGCCTGGCCAACCTGGTGAAACCCTGTCTCTACAGAAAATAGAAAAATTAGCTGGATGTGGTGGCACACACCTGTAGTCCCAGCTACTCAGGAGGCTGAGGTGGGAGGATGGCTTGAGCCCAGGTGGTAGAGGCTGCAGTGAGCTGTGGTTGTGCACTCCAGCCTGGGTGACAGAGCCAGACCCTGTCTCAAAATAAAATAAAAATAGCTATAAGGATTCATGGATATCATAATCAGGCTAGCTTGATCAAAACAAAAAGGAATATCTTTTTTTTTTTTTTTTTGAGACAGAGTCTCGCTCTGTTGCCCAGGCTGGAGTACAGTGGCACGATCTCGGCTCACTGTAAGCTCCACTTCCTGGGTTCACGCCATTCTCCTGCCTCAGCCTCCCAAGTAGCTGGGACTACAGGCGCATGCTGCCTCGCCTGGCTATTTTTTTGTATTTTTAGTAGAGACAGGGTTTCACTGTGTTAGCCAGGATGGTCTTGATCTCCTGACCTCGTGATCTGCCCGTCTCGGCCTCCCAAAGTGCTGGAATTACAGGCGTGAGCCACCGCGCCTGGCCAAGAATATCCTTTTTTGGCTTATGTTGGGTCAGGAATGACCAAAAAAATGCCATTGTGAGATCTCCCCTCTGCACCTCTTACCTTCGCTTTTTCTCTGGAGGGCATAATCCTCCCAGACCTACTTCTTCAAGCACAGAGAGCCTGTGTGTCTGCAGGAAACACCCAGTACATCCCCTTACAGTTTAATGAGTAGCAAGCTCCACCCCGAAAAAGCTTGGGAAGGAAGTATCTAAAGCAAGCAGCTGGGGTCACAGGAAGCAGAAGGGTCCTCAGAGGGATGCATACTTTACCTTTCCCTGAGGGCCTGTTGAGCAAATTCCCCACCTCCAAAAAATTGAGCTCTTCTTGGGTTAGCCTGTGTGGGTTGATCTTCAGTGTAATGAATACCTGCTCAGGAGGAAAGGAAAGGAACACCTGGGAAAAGAGGGTAAATGAAACACAGGTCTGGGCACTGTGGCTCACATCTGTAATCCCAGCTCTTTGGGAGGCCAAGGCAGGAGATCACTTGAGGCCAGGAGTTCGAGACTAGCCTGGACCACAAAGCAAAACCCTGCATCTCAAGTGAGTGAATGAATGGTAGCCTGGAAATTAATTTCAGGTACATCTCATTTTCTCCAACCAGAAATCTTGTACCAAAGTTAGAGTCAAACTAGACTTGAGGGGGAACTGCAAAGTTTGACGAAGGCAACCAGCAGATCAGGTAGGCAAAGGCGGTAAATGATTTGCAAACTCAACCTTCAAGTTCAAAAATGGTGGGCAATGTGTTCGATTTTAGTCATCCTTCCACATCTCCCCTAGATCCCCATTTCACATCAATGTTAGGGGAACAAACTGAAAACCTTTTCTTTGCCTTGAGTTTCTTATTGCTTTTTCTTTCTTTTTTTTGAGATGGAATTTTTTGCTCTTATTGCCCAGGCTGGAGTAAGGTGTTGTGATCCCAGCTCACTGTAACCTCTGCCTCCCGGGTTCAAGCAATTCTCCTGCCTCAGTCTCCCAAGTAGCTGGGATTACAGGCGCCTGCCACCACACCCGGCTAATTTTTGTATTTTTAGTAGAGACGGGGTTTCACCATTTTGGCCAGACTGGTCATGAACTCCTGACCTCAAGTCATCCACCCACCTCCGCCGCCTAAAGTGCTGGGATTATCGGCAGGAGCCACCACTCAGAGCCATGATTTCTTTTTTTCTTTTCTTTTGAAACAGAGTCTCGCTCTGTCACCCAGGCTGGAGTAGAATGGCTTGACTGCAACCTCCGCCTCCTGCATTTAAGTGATTCTCCCGCCTCTGCCCCCTGAGTAGCTGGGATTACAAGTGCCCGCCACCATGACCAACTAATTTTTTTGTATTTTTAGTAAAGACAGGGGTTTCACCATGTTGGCCAGGCTGGTCTCAAACTCCTGACCTCAGGTGATCTCACCTCCAGGCCTCCCAAAGTGCTGGGATTACAGGCATGAGCCACCATGCCTGGCTGATTTCTTTAAGAAAATTGTCTTAAAGGCATTTTCTAGAAACAGCTTTCTCTCTGGCATTCCACAGCAGAACTTCACCAGTTGTTCTGCTGCCCATCTTGTCTCCACCTTAATTTGGCAGCTTCTGTAGGAGGTTCTTGCCAAGGACCCAAAGCGGGTGGCCTTCGGGACACTGAAGAGCGGCTGGGGAGGCCACTGCCAGCCACCAAGGTGTAAGCATCAGCATCCTTAAGTAAAGATCAGTGAAATTTTGGTCTTTGTTTATATATCACAAATATGCAGATAAGTATTTTTAAGCAACACCTTCTCCAAGGAGTAGTTGAAACATGTAGGTGTTTTATAAGGTCCCAACTTGCCCTTTCAGTTTAAAGTAATTTATTTTTTTTTTCACATACTCTTTGTTTCGGTAAACTCTGATTAGTTTCCATGATCTGAAGGTTCAGGTCAGCTTAATGTTAAAGCCAGGAAGCGGCACTCCCAGTTTCAGCTTAGTGTGGCATTTCTGCAGTTAATGTCTTACAACAAAGGTTTTAAAAATACTTCCTACTCCACCACCTCAAGCTCAACAGGCTCATTCATTCCCCCAGGGGAAAAGACACAGTTGCTTCATAGCATCTTGTCCCCTGTGGCATGAAAGTCAGTGTCGTTTCTTAACACAGAAGTATTTTGTTACTATTTGTCGTTTACATTTGTGTAGTGTTTTATGGAGTGCATGAACCTCACAGCCTTCTGAGGGGCGCGTAATAGGCAGTGTCGCTCTCTAACCTCAATAATCTGTGTGAGGTGCAGTGGCTCACACCTGTAATCCCAGCACTTTGGGAGGTCAAGGTGGGCAGATCACATGGTCAGGAGTTCAAGACCAGCCTGGCCAACATAGTGAAACGCTGTCTCTACCAAAAAAAATATAAAAAATAAGCCAGGCATGGTGGTGGGTGTCTGTAATCCCAGCTACTCAGGAGGCTGAGGCAGGAGAATTGCTTGAACCCGGGAGGTGGAGGTTGCAGTGAGCCGATTATGCCATTGTACTCCAGCCCGGGCAATAGTGTGAGACTCTGTCTCAAAAAAAAAAAAAAAAAAAAAAAAATTTGAATACACTATAGACTTCGTGAGGAAAAGATGGAGGCCTGGAGAATCAACACAGTGGCCCCATGAAAACACTTACATATATTTTGTTGACATTTGTATCCCATGATGCTCTCAACTGCAGTTAGTATAAAATGAGCAGTGGCTTACACCTAAGGACTTCTGTTTCTTAAGTCTAAAATGGGTGATCCTCAGGGTTGGATTGGCAGCTCAACAGTGCCTACAAGGATTGGCGCTCCTTTCATCTTTCCATTCTTACCTTCCTACATATGTCATCTTTGAGCTTCAGGCTGGGGGTTTATCTGATCTCAAGGGGGCTGCCACCTCTCCAGGCATCACATCCTCACATGATAGCACCCAGAGGAGGGTGCTATCAAGAAGGGAGGGAGGTGTGAAAGGGTCCTTCTCATGTGTCTCTCTCTCCTTTAAATCAGGGAGAAAGATATTTTCCAGAATCTTCCTTGCCACAGAAACCCCCACGTGTCTCATAGACCAGGATTGGGTCACACAGACTGGTTGCAAAATAGAATTTTAGCTTTTTCCACTCCTCTCGTAGGAGGTGGACAAGGGAGAAGAAAGTTGGAAGTGGTTTTTGGATTGGCATTCATCAGCATTGGTTAGTGTTCACGAAAATAAAACACAGGCTGCACACTAAAGAGAACCATACAGCGAGTGTTAAGTTGCCATCGCTTAGTAGCTGGAAATACTGCAGAATGTCCCCTCCTTTGATTTCCAGTGTCATGTGGTAATTTCAGTTCATTGTGTTTCACATAATTTTACCAGCTCTCTACCGAATCTTAAATTACTTTTTTTTTTTAAATGTTATGACTAGTTTCTAGGATCCCACTATAATTCTGGATTAACTCAGATGCTTGAGGGGAAAAAAAAAAAGTTAACCAAAAAATCCATGGCTGGCGGAGTGGCTCACGACTGTAATCCCAGCACTTTGGGAGGCCAAGGTGCGTGGATCACCTGAGGTCAGGAGTTCGACACCAGCCTGTTCAACATGGAGAAACTCTGTCTCTCCTAAAAATACAAAAATTAGCCAGGTGTGGTAGTGTGCACCTGTAATCCCAGCTACTTGAGGGGGCTGAGGCAAAAGAATCACTTGAAGCCAGGGGGCGGAGGTTACAGTGAGCCGAGATCGTGCCACTGCATTCCAGGCTGGGCGAAAGAGCAAGACTCTATCTCAAAAAAAAAAAAAGAAAAAAGTCCACGTAGGCTGGGCGCGGTGGCTCACGCCTATAGCACTTTGGGAGGCCAAGGTGGGTGGATGGCTTTTGCTGAGGAGTTTGAGACCAGCCTGGGCAACATGGTGAAACACTGTCTCTACACA